TTTGACTGTAGGTAACACATGGTTCAGTTGGGTTCCAGAGCCGGTGAGAGGGAACCTCTGCACTCGGAGAACAACGTGGAACTGATTGACAAGATACTTTTGAAGGATGAAGATAACAGAATGTCAATGTAACAAAAACTATAATAGTTGTACATAGTATTACTACAGCCAAAAGATTCAACAAGTTTTGATGATTTTAAAAAATAACAACAATCTAGGTGTTGGGATTTAAAAACAAAAAAGCCCCAATTGTGTTAATCGCCATGTATCTTTCAACCGTGACTTTCAACCTTTACATCGACAACTTTTTTCATAGTCCACACTTCACAATACTTCTCTATACAAACGTCAACACCTTATTCCTACACAATCTTGTGGTTCTTCAAACACCCATTTTATACAATATCGTCACACCTTCCTCTCACAAATTTCTGACCCCAATTTTAACTTCAGAACCATCCACATCCATCATACCAACATTTCACTATCTTATCCACTCTTCACTTCTACATCGCTTTCCTGTTAATTCTGTTCTCTTTCATTATTTCTTGGTCAATTCATATATTAAACATGTATCCAATAGTTTTAATTTAGTAATCATTCAAACATTATCTAACAATTTATTAAAATTCATAATCTACCATATTACAAAGAATCCTAATCTACCTTTGTCCACCTTCTTTCGGTCAACAACTTAGTAGCACACTTATACAACAAATTTCAGGTTTCTACAAACTGAATTTAATACCACCAAAATAGACTTTTGTTCAGGGTGCTAGATACTTTAAGTATAAAGGACCCCTATTATCTCTAATTGTTGATCAACTCCTTTTCTCCTTCAACCCCCCCCCCCTCCTTTTCTTCAGTCATTTCTTTTACTTTTATTCTCATTAGTCTCTGAGAAACCCAGTCTCTTCAATTTTAAATTCAATCACATATGTTACTACTTCAATTTCTTCAGCCTGTAGATTTCCATCTTACTAAACTTAATTTTATTAATTTTTCACCATAGGAGCATTCTTAAATAAAGTCATTTAAATATGAGGTCTGATATTAGCTTCAAATATTTGTTATTTAATTTTTACCTTGTCCTAGATGTGTTAAACATAAAAGGATAAATTTCATAAATATAAGCTAACCCAAAATTAAATACACTTTAGACCACATTCCATACGACGAAAAGCAACATAAGTTGCCTAAAGCACAGGTCATTCTATTAATCATGACTATAAAACCATCATTGATTTGACATCTTTTATACCCTAAATTAATAAATAAAAAGTTTTTAAATCCCAACACCTAGATTGTTGTTATTTTTATTAAAATCTCATCAAAACTTGTTGAATCTTGTTGTTCTCCGAGTGCAGAGGTTCCCTCTCACCGGCTCTGGAACCCAACTGAACCATGTGTTACCTACAGTCAAATTTAATTTAATACTGAACATCACAGTTATTTTATAACACAATGTACAATATTTCATAACTAAATGTAATTTAAAGGGTTTTTACCCTAATATTTTGGTGGCTCAGGCATTGTGACCTATGTAAGTATAACCATCTTTTGCTTTTCAACCATAGTCAAAATTTCACAATCTCGTTTGTTTTAACTAAATGGTTTATACTTATTTTTAGGCATTTTCGATTTTAATAACCTGATGATGGACTGTGTGGTCCGAAAACGTTTGTTTTATTGATGTGGCCCTTTTAAGGGTTTTTTAAATAAATATACCCATTTACAAAGATTAACCTCTTTTTGTTATATGTGGTATACAGCCAGCTACAGGAATTTTTCCTTGTGGATTTTAAAACAACTAAGGTTAGGTAGAGACCCACGACCCACGAAACTGTGTTGCTAGCACAACTCTATCCACGCCAACCAAGTCTGGCAGTAGCCTGGCCGTGGTTTGGGTTTAATATGCGTCGCTCCGTCTAAAACCACGTTTTACAAAATAACCCACGCGTGGGCTGTGCTCAATTTGCGGCGGGCCTAATAGGTATGATAATGACAAAGAGACTTAGATGACAAGACCACTTAGAAATGAATCTACGACAAAAGGACGCGGAAAACAGGACGCGAGACCAAAGGACGCGCGAAAAAAGGACGCGTGGAAAAAATTGACGCATATTATTAATGAATTACTATAAATAGTTTATTTAAATTGACATTAGCCATTACCCCCTTTTTATCCCCATATGTTATTACAGAAAATGATTCTACCTAACCTAAAATCGGTTACGGTAAGAGTAAAAAGTGAAAAATAATTATATGAAGATTTAGGGAACAATGCGATCATTGGTATGCCGATGGAACATTTAACTCAGCACCACCATTGTTTTCTCAAATATACACAATTCATGGAGTGCGATACAGTAATGTAATCCCGACTGTATTTGCACTTCTAACGAACAAAACACAAGAGACTTATACACGTGTTTTTCAGCAACTAAAGGTCTTGAATCCGGCCTTGCGCCCTCTAACAATAATGATGGACTTTGAAAGAGCGGCAATGAATGCTGCACAAATTGAGTTCCCAAAGGTGAGAATCCGCGGATGTTTTTTTCATTTCTCGCAGTGTATGTGGCGCCATATTCAAAGTGCCGGATTGCAACTTAGATATATTGAGAATCCTGACTTCGCCCTTCACCTAAGACAATTAACAGCTCTTGCGTTTGTTCCAGACAACCATGTAGTCAGAGTGTATGAGGAGTTGCTCAATAGCGATTTTTATACACAAAATGAAGAACTACTAGTGCCGCTGATTAATTACTTTGAAGACACTTGGATAGGGAGATTAGCTAGAAGAGAAAATCGAAGACAACCCCTTTTTCCAGCAAATGTATGGAATTGTTACGATTTGGCAGACCAAGATATACCTCGAACTAATAATGCTGTCGAAGGATGGCACAACAGCTTTTCTTTTCTTCTCAATAGTGCACATCTGAATATTTGGAAATTTATTAATTCTCTAAAAAAAGAATATGATTTAAATGTTTTGAAAATAGAGCAGTACATTTCGGGCAATGTACCTCCACACAAAAAAAATATCAAGATACAGCAAACAGGATAAGGGCTATTGTTGCCGATTATGCTGACAGGCCAACTTTAGAATATTTGAGAGGCATTGCTCACAATTTTCAGTGGCAAACATACAAAAAATACAAAAAAAATTAATATCAAAAATAAAACAAAAAAAAATAAAATGACAAAAAAATTCCAAAAAAAGCAAAAAATTAAAAAAAAATAAAAAAAAAACTTGTAAACACGCCAGCTTCTGCCAGCTCTAAATATTTTTCACTTTTTACTTTTACCGTAACCGATTTTAGGTTAGGTAGAATCATTTTCTGTAATTATATATAGGGGATAAACGGGGGTAATTGCTATTGTCAATTAAAATAAACTATTTATAGTATTTCATTAATAATATGCGTCCTTTTTTCCACGCGTCCTTTTTTCGCGCGTCCTTTTTTATGCGTCCTTTTTTCTGTGTCCTTTTGTCGGTATACCCTTAGAAATAATGCCGAACACACGAACTTCAAAAAGGATCCTAAACTGTATTATATTCTTAACAAAAAAAGAAAAGAAGACCTGGAAAATAGATGAAAGCATGAGATTGAAAAGGACAGAAAAGTTATGTAAATAATGTAGCTAGAAGTTTGGAAAAGAAAAATGAATAACAGAAAGGAGTGGAGAATAATCACAAGTGAAGCCATAGAAAAACTCGGCAAATTTTTTCTGTGTTCCACAATTAGTTTATGAAATCTATTAATCACGTGTGTTCCCAATTTTTAAGAATTTTACCTGGTATGTTGCAAATATATGGGTCTTTATTATTCTTCAGTGCTTTAAAATGGCATCCATTATTTTCTGTATTGTGGCTGGGTATGTTAATTCAGTACTCTGGTTCTGATCTGTTACCTCTAAATCTTCTACTGCATGATCTATGTTTGTTTGTTTATTTTTCAGGCCTGCTTTTATTCTTACATCATCATTGATCATTTGTCATTCCCTATTGATACAAACATTGTTACTCTTATTTAAATCTTCCCCAATTTTTAGTATTTCATATGTATCTCCTCTTCTTTCTTCTGCATATTTTGTTTACCTTTGTTCATTATTCTTCAATTTTTTTAGGGCTTTCTTGTGTTCTTCTTTGAGTATACTGCACATATAGTTCATTTCTTTTGTTATTGCTTGTTTATATTCGTCAATAAACCAAAGCTCTCTTCTTTGATGTTTTTAATTACTTCAATCACTCTCTTAGCTGTTCCTCTCTCTATTCAATTCTTCTCCCAATTGCTTTTCTATTTCTGGATTTTTCAGGTTGTCAAAGTTTAATTTTTTGGTTTAGGTGTTTGTTCTTCTCTTATCTGTTTATATGGTATCTAAATTTGATAATTTTGTAATAGAAAGTGATCCTAGCTGCATACCTCTCCCCTTCTTGATCTCACATTCACTTATGTTTGTAACTGCTCTTCTGTCTATCAACATATGATTTATCTGGTTGGTTGTTTGACCATCTGGTGAGTCATGTGGCCTTATAGATGTCTGGTTTGGAGAAAATGGTTGAATTTATGATAATTTCAAAGCAGATATTTAGAAACTTTCCCTTAAAAATTATAATCATTTGCACAAGAAGCTCTTAGTACATATATGCCAGACAACAGTAGAACACCAAATAAACATTTTTTGAAAATATTGCCCATAGGTATTGCACTGTCAATGTCGAATTGCAGTTTGTTTCCAATTATATAATTGATAAAAAAAAATAAGACAGCAAAAGCAGGTAGTCACAGACTACATACGTTAACTGAAGAAAAACAAACACCGAAACGACTAAAAAAACATAAAAAGGCGAGGGCGAGAGGATCCGTACTCCACCCAAGTTTTGTGTTTAAATATTGAGCTAAATATATATTTTTAATAAAACAACACAAATAAAGCTCATCATGTATTGTTTGGCTTTAAAACAGATGTGATAAGTTATTAAAAACAAAAGATACCTGTACAATTCTTTAAATCTAACCAGGTGGTTGTATTATCAACTTCATCTCTTCCAAAAATGAGTAACTTTTCACCCGTTTTAAATTCAAAATTTTCGCAATGAATGTGATGACTAGAAGCACCACAATACATAGATGGTTTAAGGTTTTCCATAATCTGTTCTTATATTTATATTTTTTTTATTATAACCATAGATAAATAATATTGATTATAACTTTATTTTAAATTTATTTTTATTGTCAATAAACGGTGACTAAACTTCATAACGTCATTTGTCCACAATCCACAGAACAGCATACCACCACCGAACAACATACCACCACCTACACACCACCCGTCCCACAGGTTTACTTTATCTGTGTCATTTGTCAATTATATTATTTTATATTTAAATAGTGCAATTTCATTGAATTTAACAACTATGCATAGATAAATATAATTTTCAGAAACATATAATAAAACATATATAATTCGATAATAATGTGGCCACACTAGTATCTTTCAGATACAATATTATATAATTATGTATTGTAGTGAGCTGTACGTATCTAGTTCTATCTTTGTTTATCGCATGGGATGTACATGCATGCTCTTTTTGTATCAGTAAATTAAATTCTAAATGTATTTACAAAAAAATACAGCTAAAGAGATCTGAAATACAAGTATATAGTATTAAAAAGTGTTCCATAATCTTTCTAAAACTAATGTGTTTTTTAATTTATTTTTGAATATGTAAATAAAGACATATAAAATTATACAGAGGCAAAAAACAAACAAAATTATGTAACCTTGACTGTTGTAAAAAGGAAAAAAATGACGTTTCTGACGACAGCATTATCGATAGTTCTAGAATCGCTCTTTCCCTTTCCTCTTTGTTGTTTCCTTGTTCTCACATTCGACATTAGAACATTTTGTCGATTACTACAGAAAATTCCAGACTTCCAGAATTCCAATACTTACAGTTAATTCGCAGTGATTAATTTAGAATCAAATATCTAGTCGAGAACAGTGTTTTTAAAACTATATACATATATTTTAAGTAGAAAGCGTGCAAGTATTAGGAAGCATGGTGAATGAAACTAAATTTTATGATATTCTGGGTGTCAAACCAGACTGTTCACCTGAAGATTTAAAGAAGGCGTACAGAAAACTAGCCTTAAAATATCACCCTGATAAAAATCCAAATGAGGGAGAAAAATTTAAGCAGATCTCTCAAGCCTATGAAGTTCTTTCCGACCCCGAAAAAAAGAAAATATATGACTTAGGGGGTGAACAGGCACTGAAGGAACGAGGAGTTGGCGGAGGTTTTTCGAGCCCCATGGATTTATTCGACATGTTTTTCAGGTAACAATATTTGCAAAGGAAAATTTTATTCTATATTACATCAAAACTTTTATCTTTTGTTAAGCAGTAAGAAAAGTATGTATATTTTAAAACACTTTGTTTAAATTAACTGAACTTTGAAGTAATTTGTATTAAATTAAACCCAATATCTACTCTTATAATAACTTAATATTTATCTTTTTTGAATATTTTCACAACTTCCTTGTACAGTTGTTTTTATTATTTTGAGTATCTTAAATATCTTCACTGGGGGTTAGTGACAAATACTAAAACAAACTTTATTCTATTTTTAATATCAGAAGCCATCCCTTCCCCAAAATACGCTTAAAATAAACAAAACAGCCTATGTATATTATTTAACAATGTACTATTCTGTAACTTATGTTAGGTTATAATTGATTAATGGATTTTTTATGCTCAATAATTTGATGGTCTTGGCATTGTGACATCGTGACAATTAATTTAGGAAGTGTCTTCATTGCAGACTCTTGTGTCTTCAGAATATTTAGATTGGAAAAAGTAATAAAGTAAGTTTAATCTGAGTGCCTGATGGTATTTAAGGAAATGAATAATCTGACCTACTTGCCAGGGGATAGGCAGAAGAAACATTCATAGGCCCAGAACCTGTTATTGACATAGCAGGAACCACAACAAAAAGAAACATTATTGGACTGGGTAGAATGGATAAAACTTAACCACTGTTAATGTGGGTCTTATAATACACTCGAAGGCTTTTGTATGTGAGCCTTTGAAGAAGAGATCTACTGTGATGTGAATAGGAGTGATCTGCTAATTGTCATAGGTCTTCTAATAGGACACTGTCGCCTCAAGGGGCAAATGAACAATGTCAGACTAGTTGAAAGTATGAATTGCAGATTCTGTTAGGCTAATGACGAGATGGCAGAATACATTCTGTGCAATTGGCTAGAGCTGGATAGGGTAAGGCTCCATACATTTGAGCAGTACCAACTCGAGCCTTACAATTGGTAGAAGTGTCACCTAAGATAGTATGGTGTGACCAACTTCAATTCAGTCAAATTCGAGACAAGGCTGAAAAAACACCTGAAATCCAGGACTTTTCAATGAAAATCAGGCCATTTTTTTTTCACTAATTGATTTGCAGCGTTTGGAAAAGATTCATTCGATCTAATTGATTTTATTGTTCATAAGAATATAGCATGAACGAAATCAAGAAGTTTGTTTACTTAAAATGGTTGACATAACTGGAAGAAACATTTATCAGCAATCAATTGTTATTGTTTTTGAATCATCTTTTCAGAAGATGATAATTAAAATATAGAATTGAAAAAAAGTCCATAGTTTGAGTTTTCGTAGAACTATAATACCACAATATATTATTATAATGCATGTGTTTTGGATGTAGTATTAGTATTACATTCTAGAAATTGTAGACTTTTTTTCATCCCACTAATTCAATTTAATATGAATTCATATGATGTGAAAAAATTACATATAACAGAAATCATACATTCTCTGAAAATTTGAGTAGATGGATTACTGCTTGTATTATAATTTACAGACAGACATGTTTCAATTTGGTTTTAGAAATGAAATATTTTATTGCAAACTGAAAATTGCAAAACTGTTAAAATAAATTATTAATGCTGTGGTTAGTAGTTCCTCAAACCCTGTAAATTTCTTACTATTTCCACAGTGGTTCAAGTCAATGGTAGATATCTCAACTGTCTTTATAGTCCCAAAAAAGGCAGTCTGGGTGATCTTAGGACTAAAGGCGGGAGAATCCTGTAGAGGCCGATTCAAATCACTCAATATACTCACTTTCTCAGCCATCTATATATTTGAATGTATTATGTTCCTTTTTAAAAATTTTTCTTTGTTTTATCACCTGCTTCCCAATCATGAATATAATACAAGAAGCCTTAATTTGAATTTGCCACTTCACAGATTGTCTATAACAGAGAGAAGTCCTTTGTATGCGTGTGTTAAATTTTATAATAGTCTACCATCTGACATTAAACAGGAAACACACTATAGAGCTTTTAAAAGAAAGGTTTTTCAACACCTAGTTGACATTGAGCCCTATACTGTGGCTGAGTGCCTGGCCTATCCTTCTCCTTGATCAGCATATTTAATTTGTAATGTTAATATATTTTAAATGTGTGATGTCAATATATATATATATATATATATATATATATATATATATATATATATATATAATAATCTGTAATTAATAATGTGACATTATTTGCTCAATTATGTTTAAAAATTTATGCAAATAAAAATTACTCTACTCTACTCTATTAATAAAACAATATAAACAAGTTTGGTTTGATTAATCACTGAAAGAAATTTAAAGTTATACACTTGATGATTGTCTAATTCTATGCACATTCTATAGATGGGAGAATATTATCATAACATTTTTTTGGCTGTTTAGGCTTGCTGGTTTCCAGAAAATATGGTGAACAGAAAAAAGAGTTATTTTGGCATTTTGTTTTTTATGAAATATAATCAATGATTGGTTATTTGTAATAATTTACACAAAACTTTGTGATATGAATAAAAATTATACATGACAACTTTGAAAATAATACCAAAAGTTCAGAACCCAACCAAACTTTTGCAAATTTCCCAAAATTGATCAGGAATTCTGGGGGTATGCAATCCATGCCAGGTGCCTTGCCAGATTTGACGCCTGTTAGCATTTGAGTCAAATATTGACATTATGTTTTGTAAAAAACTACAAAAATATAATGTTAAATTATGAAAATATAATCAGTCATCATCATCATCATCCAGCCTCAAAACTCCACTGTTAAACATAGGCATCTTCCTCATGTTTCCAACCCTGTCTATCATGCACCACTCTGATCCAGTTTTTATTTCTTCTTCAATTCTCAGCCCATCGTGTAAGTAGTGGACTGACACTTTTCTTGTCTTCTCTTGGTCTCCATTCCAATAACCTGTGTCGATCACCCATCCGTCATGCTAACTATGTGTCCTGCCCATTTCCATTCTAGTCTGGTCATCCTTTTGATGACATCTGTCACCTTGGTTCTTCTCCTGACCTCTTCATTTTTTTATTTTGTCTAGCAGAGTTTTTCCTAACATGGATCGCTCCATTCTTCTCTTGGTAACTCTGAGTTTGGTAGCTGAGACTTGGTAACATAAGTGTTTCTGCTTCTTATTTCAACACTGAGAGAAGCATAATTCCATGTCCTAAGTATTTATATTTATCTATGAGTTCTATTTCTTGCCCACCAATACTGATGCTTTAATGGTAGTATAAGTATACATCCAGCTTGCCAAGGAATCTGAAATGTTTCATTGCTTCATATTATCTTATTTTGTAGGACACTATCATACTTATATTATTTTAAAATCTAGAGATTGTGTTCCAATATTTATTTTTGAAGGTATTTTTTAAAATTTATAGAGTTCTGCACTAGGAATGCTTTCACACTTTTAGGATTGCTTCAATTGTTTCCTATAAGGTTGTTAGATCAAATTAACTGTACTAATATGCACATGTTGGCCACTTTATAATGAACAAGGGGCAACAAGGTTATTTTTGAAAATTAAGTTTTAATTTTTTGTTCTTCATGCAACAAAAAAGCTCTCCTTTTAAAATGGCTTTAGATCTGGACACCAAAATCACAAATAATGTAGTTACAATTCTGAAATTGCCATTTATTCACTTTCATGTATATAGTTAATTAAAAACTTAACCGTAATTCCTGATATAAATTAGGCATTTTGTTATTATCAAGAATTATAAAGATGTGATTCTATAGCATTCAATATTATATCAAAAAATTATTTTCAGTGGTGGATTTGGTGGTGGTCGACGGAGGAAAGACCATAGGGGCAAAAATGTCATCCATCAACTTACTGTTACTTTAGAGGAACTTTACAAAGGAGCAGTTAGGAAGTTGGCATTACAGAAAAATGTTATTTGTGATAAATGTGAGGGCAGAGGAGGCAAAAAAGGAGCAGTTGAACAATGTACAACATGTAGAGGTACAGGTGTACAAGTACAAGTGCAACAAATTGGATTAGGTAGGTTTTAAATTATTTCAAGTTATGCATTTATTCATTACATCTGTTTTTTTAGGTATGCTTCAACAAATTCAAACAGTATGTCCCGATTGCAGAGGACAAGGGGAAAAGATTAATCCTAAAGATCGTTGCAAGCAGTGCAATGGTAAAAAAGTAGTTCGTGAACGTAAAGTATTAGAAGTACACATTGACAAAGGTATGGTTGATGAACAAAAAATAGTATTCACTGGTGAAGGTGATCAAGAACCTGAATTGGAACCTGGCGATATTATTATAGTACTTGATGAAAAAGAACATCCAGTATTTAAGAGATATAATGTACATGATTTATACATGAGAATGGAAATTCAACTAGTGGAAGCTTTGTGTGGTTTTCAGAAAGCTGTCAAAACATTAGATGACAGAGAACTAGTGATTACTGTTCTGCCTGGTGAAGTTATTAAAAATGGAGACTACAAATGTATTTTAAATGAAGGTATGTACTTTTAATCTTCTAGGTAACTTACAGCACTTTTTAATCATACTACGTTGTTGGGACATATATGGAACCATATTTATTTTTTAATTTTAATAACTTTTTTGTTTATAATATCATACAATAAAATCTGAAGCCTTTGTGGATGACAGTCCTGATTCTATTCTACAGATACTTCTGACAGATTATTCTACAGATAATTGTCATAGCATGCCCATCACACTGCTTGTTTTATCCCTCCAGTTTCGCACTTTCAGGATATTGATATCTCTCATGACCTGTTCGTCCAATCTCTCTATGGGCTTTTTCCATGGACGTATAAATAAAGATGGACTAGGCATGCCCTGCACTCTGTTCACCTAAATTTGAAGTCGAAAAGTTTATAGGCGCGGGGAAAGAGACGAGGTGATAGACTGTGACATATCCTTTTAAGCCAGCGGCGTACCTTCCAATATTTGAAAGTTATTTGAAACAGTTTTTTCACTTGAATAAATAATGACTATTGGTTTGACTTTTGCTTTTGCTTGCTTTTATTTTTAGTATCGTAAACATATGAAATATTCGAATAAGTGAGAAACAACAAACAGTGAATAATGTTAATTTTCAGTGTATAGAAATATATTTATAAAAATAATTTACACAAAAGAATAAAGATGGAATAAATAAATCGTAAAGTACTTTATATAATATTTTATTTAAACTAAAATATCACACAAGCAATAAACAATTCTTCCCCAAACATTAACCTGTTCAGGGTATTGAGTATGTTCTGCTCTTATCCAGTGAGTGATAAGTTGAAAAAATATAGTCAAATATGGTGTATAACTCAGCTTAATTGTTAGTTGGCAACATTAGTATGCCATTGTCAAGTCAGATAAATTCTGCTTTGTTCAGTTCTCCTGAAACATCAACATAAAGCAGAACTAATCTGACTTGACAATGGCAAGTGTGACCTTGCCGAAACGTCGTCAAAACAATGGTTTTTCTAAAAACCAAACTATTTAACGCAGAGTCAAACCCGGAAAACATTTGATATCACATATAGCTCCCGCGGAAATTTCAAATCCAATATATATATATATATATATATATATATATATATATATATATATATATATATATATATATATATATATATATATATCATCGGAAAAGGAGTACGACCGTCAATCCAATATAAATAAGGATCACTCAGACGAGTGGTGGGTTCTAATATCGGTCTCAAGGTGGAGAAATAAAAGACAAAGTTGATAGGCTACTTTATCTATTTTGAAGACGTTGAGACAGATATAAGAACCCACAACTCATCTGAGTGATCCTTATTTATATATATATATATATATATATATATATATATATATATATATATATATCTGTATATGGGAAGTATACTATCCTAAGTCCAATTTTGTAGAAAAATACATTATTGCATAACCGGCATTGGAATATCTTAATTTATTTAGGAGTAAACTATTCTAAGTCCAAACGCTTTTAAAAACGAAAGTAAACGAGAAACTATGTATACTATGTCCAGTTTTCTTTAGAGGTATATAATCTTATCTGGACTTAAACTTATATTCCTCCAAATGAAATATTATGAATCGGATCCTAAGTCCATTATAGGATTATATGCCTCTCATTGAAAAGACATCAAGTGTAATAAAATATACACACATGTCAAGTGCATTTTCTTAAAACTTAATATTTTTTTAACAACCTCAAGTTAAATGCGTAGTATAATCTTGAAGTGCACATCAAGACAAGTGGTGACTAATATGTAGTAATTTTATGGTTTACAGGCCGCTCTAATTTATTGCCTTTACGAGTTTTGGAGATTGGATTTAATTTTTACTTAATTTATTAGACTGTGCTAAGCATTATTTTAACGAAAAATGGTCTTTAATGACAGTAAGGCGCATTCTGAAATAAAATATTTAGATTTTAACTTACCAGCTTACCAAACGTATTTTAAAGTTGAAAACGTGTTATTAAGATTTGTATTCAATTCAGTTGAATGCGAACCAAAACATATTAAAGAAGTTATTTAGTGAGTCTACATTGTTTCATCGCTTTAACAATGGCTTTTCGTAAAAGAAGTTTAAGGATCCTAGATTTGTCGCTCTGCGATACACCTAAGTCTTTCAACACAGACCCCAGATTACAAAAAGGTAAGTTTTTAGAACTAAATATAATTTTTTTACACAGTCGAGAAAATGTAAATGCAATGTTAACTGCTTTTCTAAATGTTAGTACATCTTTATTAATAATAATTTTATTTAATGTCTGCTTCCGTTGTAACAAAAATATCTATTTCAGGTGCAGATAAAGAAATTCTACCACATCAAGAACTTAGCGATAGATGCGGCCAAGATGCAGCCATCAAATCAGCTGGTGTTGCAGAAGAAAAGCACTATAAACAAAGTTCTGTGGTAAGTGACGACCTTTATTTAAGTGACAGCGATGATTCGATAAAGGATAAAGATTATCAACCAGATTCAGACACTGATTTAGATGAAAGTGGAAGTAGGTTTCCTGTACTTTTATCGGCATTGCCAGAAGGTGTGCCAAGTACATCTAATTCCGTACCAGACTTCTTAACTAATACCGTAGAAGAGACTATAAATCCAAATTCTTTAATGACCAAGAGAAAAGTTGTCAATAAAACAAAAATAAAGCAGACAGGAAAGAAACGGACACGACATGTTCTTCACTGGAAAGCGAATGAGAGAAAAAGAAACTATGCTGGAGGCAGGGCCTATGTTAGTAAGAAGGGTAAGAATGTTCCTTGCAAAAACCTAAAAGTACCATGCGGAATAACTTGCCGCATGAAATGTAGTTCAAAATTATCTGAAGCTCAAAGGGAAGATATTTTCAAAAAATATTGGAATGACACAGCAGACCATAATATCAAAAGACAATTTATATTATCTTGTGTCCAAACGAAACCTACAGAACGACATAGGTTGCGCTCAGGAGACGAATCTAAACTAAGATCAAATACTTTAATTTACTCTTTTGTAATTAACGGTAATAGAACCTTAGTATGTAAAACCATGTTCTTAAACACGTTAAGTATTTCACAGCAAGTAGTGAAGACTGCTTTATCAAAACGACAGGATGGCGGCATGGTTCAACGAGATCTTAGGGGCACTCATGAGCCAAGTAATAAGACAACACAAACAATTATTGATTCTGTAGTATCACATATTTCATCTTTTCCGAAATACGAGTGTCACTACAATCGGGAAAGGTCCAAAAAGAATTACTTGGGGCCTGATTTAAATATTGAAAAAATGTATAAATTATACAAACAGAAAAAGACAGAGAATAATGATGCTACTGAAGTCATAGCAAAGCCCTGGCTATATCGCGATATATTTAATAAGCAATTTAATTTAACATTCAAACCCCCAGAGGTAGACACTTGTGACGACTGCGATATGTTTGCAGCTAAAATACGAGCAAAAATTGATAATGATTCTGAGAAACAACTGATTGAAAATGAAAAAGATACCCACTTAAAAGAAGCAGAAAATAGATATAAATTTAAATCTATTGATATGGCTGAAGCAAAAACAAATATAAAACACAAAGTTCTGACTGGTGATCTACAAAAGTGCCTTCCAACGCCATATTTGACCAATTGTGTGAATTTTTATAAGCGAAAATTATGGACTTTGAATTACACTTTATACGATGGGTATAATAGTGCTGCGTATTGTATAACGTGGGATGAAACCAAAGCAAACAGAGGAGGAAATGAAATTGCTTCGGGAATTTTAAAGTGGGCTGATCTAAATATTCCTTCATCTGACGTCGAATGTGTTACCTTATGGGCAGATAACTGTTGGGGCCAGACGAAAAATCTATGTGTAGTTATGTGTGCACTTTACCTCATTCAAAGATATCCTAAACTACAAGTAATAGATTGTAAATTTCTTCTAAAGGGGCACACGCATATGGAATCCGATTCGGTACACGCCAATATTGAAAGGAAACGGAAAAAACTACCCAATCTCACTATATTAACACCCTGGGACTGGCAACAATTTATTCGTCAGTGTTCAAATAAATACGAAGCTGTGAACATGGAACTCAATGATTTTAAAAATTTTGAATGCTTATATTCTTCAACAGGTCCATTTATTAATCGGAAAATAAATACTGACAGAGAGGCATTTCAAATTTCAAAATCAGTGATCTTACGAGTTACCAAAGAAAAATTTGGAATACTTCAATACAAAACTGCATTCAACAGTGACACTTTTCAAATGGTTGACTTAAGACGAAATAAAAGAGGTGATATCATTTTGCCAGAAACTTTACCACAAATGAATATGCAATTGATTCCTATATCAACAAAAAAATATAGTGATCTTATGGACTTACTCTTATACTTGCCATCGTATTGCCATGATTTTTATAAGAATCTTCCTCATTCAAACGAAGAATCCGAGTATCCTAACGATAATAATGATATGTAATTTTCAAACTGTATGTTAGTTCTAACTAAATAAAATACATAAAGAAGTATTGACGAGTTTTTTTACACAGATAACCAATTTATGAGGACTTAGTATAGGTGTATTATAAATATAAGGAGTTTTATAATTTAGAAGTAATATATCCTAAGTCCATTATTTTATTATCTTTAAACCCTTATTATACTTTCATAATACTACAGCAAACTATATATAATACTATTTTTAAATACCGACAATAGTTTCCGCTACAATTATTAATTGCTTATAATTTTCTGAACAAACATCAAATATAATGTTTAAGTACTCCTCCTGTAAAATTATGAGAATGTGACTTAGGATGGTATGCTTCCCATGTACAGATATATATATATATATATATATATATATATATATATATATATATATATATATGTATATATTATATATATATATATATATATATATATATATATATATATGTATATATATATATATATATATATATATATATATATATATATATATGTTCGGATAGATTTCCGCGGTCAAATGAATAACTCATCCTTAGTTACCAATCTTCCAGAATACTCTTTTACTGAATAATACGGTCTTTGAGATAGATAGGTTTTTGTCATTTTACGAAACTTAAGGATAGAATTTGTAAGTTGCAGAGGGGGATAATTGTATAATTTTTTTGCCGAATATAATATAGATTTCTTTACTAAGTCAGTGAACGGGATCGATAATTACACATCAAAGGTTGAATTTCTGGTGGACTAGTCATGATTGGGTCTTGTTAGAAAAACATGTAGGTATTTACCAATTAGAAAATAATTTCTAGAATATCGAGGGAAGAGTAAAAATCCCGTGATATTTGAAGTAGCTTCTACAATGTGTTATTCTTCTGAGTCCAAGAAGATACCGTATTGCTCTTTTTTGTAATTTAAAAATAACATTAGATTGGGCAGCTGTACTAGAACCGCAAAAAGGAAGGCCATATCGAAGATGAGACTCGAACAAAGAAAAATATGTTATTGGAAGATGCTAAATTGATTTCCTCTAAAACAGATCTTATTGCATAGCAGGCTGAGACTAGTTTATTACTTAACAAATTGATATAAAGGAACCATTTAAGGTTGTTGTCTGTAAAAATACCATGAAATTTTACAGAATCAAGGGTTGAAGAGCTCCTTTATAGGATAATGCTACTCTTATTCACGCTAAAAGATAGTAAAGCAGAGTCGGACCAGGTATTTATTTTAAGTTGATCAGAAGTTATAATTGCATGAAGAGTTGCAATATTAGAGTTCCTCTAGGTAATACTGGTATCATCAGCAGAAAGAAAAATTCATCGCTGCTAGACATGTCTTCAACGGTTTTATTTCTAAAACATATACTTAATTAGATAATCATAATCCTTGTTTTTATAAATTAAACTAAAAACTCACTTTTTATAAATATTACGTGGAACATATGAAAAAGTATTATCACCAAGTAACAACTCTACAGTTTCAGTTTCTGATGCTGTAATGGTGCTCGAAGATGCGTTTTCTGTATCTATATTTTCCTTGTTGTCTTAATTGTCATTTAAACATCTAGAATATTCAATTTATGTACATTAAAGAAGAGTATTAAAATTGGTTTAAGATTGAAATAATCTCATACAAAATATAGCCAAAACTCACCTCCTTTTTAACAGTTTAGGAGAATTAGATTTTACATTAAAGCCCAAGTCTGTCTCCATATTACATTCTTCAGTATCAATAAAACTTCTAAAATATTTTAATATTAAAATGAAATAAGTAATCAAAATCCACATTTAGATTTTATTTGTAAATTTAATAAACAAATTCGATACAAACCCACCCTTTTGAAGGTCCATAAAAATCATCCTTATCAATACTACTGGAAGCTGTTGCTTTATTTTCCATATCGTTTGTAGAACTAAAACATTGAATTATTAATTATTATGGAATATGCTACGAGTATGCATTATATTTGGTTAAATTTAATTTTCGTACAATGAACATAACCTATAGATATGTATATATTTCATTGAAATTAATATATTTATAGCAATTATAGTGTAGATTAGAAAAAATAAATAAATGTATTTATAATACTACAAAATTAAACTTCAATTCATGTCAAGCATTAAGTATTATCACATCCCTGTACTACGCCTATGGACAAAATTCCACTGTTTACAATACTTACGAATGAAATGACAGTTCTGGATGTAAATATGAAGTTTTCCTGCATACAACACAGTTACGCACCATTATTACACTTAACTATCAACTATTCTTCACTTCTAATTTAAAATATATTAACAAATTCACTAAAATGTCACAAATAAGGAAATTATCAACTCAAAGGTAAACAGTACAACGCCATATTCTTTTTCGTCAAATCGCTAGGATTGGTTGATATTACCAACGATGCCAAGTTTTACAAGAGTTAAGATTATCAGAATATATTTTCTTTTAATAAATTAAAAAATTAATTTTTTTCTTTTAATTCCTTGGTTGCGAAATGAGTATATCTAAAAATAGTTTATACTAACTAGATAATACATTTTTACTTATAGATTTAAAGTAAATTACACTAAAAATCGAAAATTATTTCGAAGATTGACTCTGAAAAAAAAAATAATATGACAACGTCAAATTAGGGATTTGTGCCTATGACTGTGAATATCTCATGACTTCAAGTATAGATGTAAACAGACCGGTCCATCTTTATTTATACGTCCATGGCTTTTCCCTTGGTCTTTTAGTTTCTGGCTTCCATCTGATAATTTCCTTAATCTGTAGGCTGTTTTTCCTTTTCTCTATGTGTCCCAGCTATCCCAATCACTGTGCTTTAATGAATCTAACTATATCTTCTCCCTTTATTATGTCTCTTAGTTCGTGGTTCATTTTTCTTCTCATTTTTCTGTTTTCCATTCTTATTGGCACCATAATTCTTCTGAGGATTTTCTTTTTGAATATTCTTGACTTTTCTTCATCTTTATCTGTGAGGCACATTGTCTCAGCTGCATATGTAACTATTTTTCTGATTGCAACTATGTGTATTTTCAGTTTTGTATTTCTTGATAAGTTCTTGTCCTTCATTAGCCTATGATATATCCAGTATGTTTCATTGCCTGCTAGTATGTGCTTCATTACTTCTTCACTTCTCTTATTTTTGCCATTCACAATTACTCCCAAATATTTAAATTGTTGAACTCTTTCAAAAGTGTAGTTTTCTCTCTTGATTTTTCTCGTCTAGAATAGAGTAGATATTTTATTTTTCCTCTGTTAATTTCTAGATTTCTTTTTCGTTCTTTATTTGCCAGGATTGTTATTGCCCATTTTAATCTTTCCTTATCTCTTCCCATAAGAACTATGTCATCTGCATATGCTACTATTTGTGTTGAATAATGTGGTTGACAGGAATCACTTCGTCCCACTCCTGGTTTCTATTGCACTTGAGTTTGTAATACCTTCTACTGTTGTTATTTTAGCTCAATATTTATTGATAGTCATTTTGGTTAATCTGATTAGCTTTGCCGGTATATCTTGATTTTCCATTTCATTAAATAATTTATTTCCTCCAATACAGTCTAATAAAGGCTTGTCTGAAGTCTACAAAGAGGGTGTGGGGTTCTATGTTGTGTTTGTGGCATTTCTCGATTGTTTGTGTAATTATGTGGATCACAACTGTAGTGCATCTGCCTTCCCTGAATCCTTTCTGGTGTCCCCAATTTTTTTCTCTGTGAATTGAGTGAGTTTTTGGCCGATCAGGGCTGTTAGAATTTTGTATGTTGTACTGGATAGAGATATTTGTCTATAGATGTTACAATCTTCCGTTCTTAAATATTGATATAATTCTGCATTTTTTCCAATCCATGGGCATTCTTCTGCTTTCCATATTCTAACAATAGGTTGTAGATACTTGTTAATATATATTTTCCCCTCTCATTTTAATTAGATTTTTGGGAATTTCATCTGGGCTAGGTGCTTTTGATGTGTAAATATTCATCATATATTGGAAATATTTCATTAATATTTTATTATAATTTTAACCACTGGTCTGCATTTTCTTTGTTGAGCTTTTAGGTATTTAAATAGTTTAGCGCTGTCGTTACTATTTTCTTCTAGGTCTTTTAACAACTCTTCCATCCACAGCTTTTATTAGTTTTTGCAACATTGGTCTACTACTTTCTTTTTGCTTTGTATTCATTTCGATCATGTTCGTTTTTAGTTGATATCCATGATTGGTGTTCTGTTTTATTTTGATTTCATATTCTGTATCAAACAAAGAAAATCAAGAGTTATTTAATTTTACACTTTTTTACATTTTCATCATTCTCCTTTTTATATTTGTCAACAAAGGAAACATTCAAAGTTTTGACTAATTACTTAACTTTCAATTTCATTAATTTTTTGACATCTCTTTACCATGATTTCTCTTTCTTCCACTAACTTGTGGTGGATCATATTTTTTATAATAGTTTTTAATGATATTGTAGTATTTTATGTTATTAAGGCTTATTATATATTAGTAGGACTTATTTAATATTATTGTTTTATAGTAATATGACTTAATCTTTGTTTAGGCATGCCACAATACAAGAATCCATTTGAAAAAGGACGTTTCATCATTCAGTTCTACGTTAAGTTTCCCGATACACTTCCCCCAGAAATAATTCCAGATTTAGAAAGAGTTCTACCACCCAGAGAAGAAATCATGATCTCTGACCATGCAGAAGAGGTGACATTGGTTGACTTTGATCCAGAAGCTGAAGCCCGAAGAAGATCTCACAGGAATGCCTATGATGAAGATGATGACATGCATGGACAAGGTCAAAGAGTGCAATGTGCTACAAATTAAATACAATTTTAAACTACTTTCCAAATTAGAGATATGTTAACAAAGGGGGACAATATATTTTGGATAATGGGTCACCAAATATAGATTTTTACTAATATAAAATTAAAAATCTTTGGCAGTCATGTTCAAGTATGGCATTATTTTTAAGAAATTATTATTAGTTTGTTTAAACTTCTAAACATATTGCAAAACAGTATTAATTGTTTAATTCACTTGGTTTATTGCAGGTTCAATACATCAAGATGAATTAGTATATTATTAAAAGAATCAAAGTTTTATAACAGCTCTCAAATCACAATCATATGTTTATTGTATTTGTGAATATGCACTGGCTGTACCATTTTCAGGGTAATCTATTTGATTTCTTTATTAATTTGAATTGATTGATTTTAATTTCGAATTGAAATACATTTGAATTGGTCTTAATTGAATAATTATTGTTTATGTCAAAATTAGGCAAGTGGTAGTTCGTAAAAGATCAGTATGCACCTGTCATATTTATTACGAACCATTTTATTAAAAAAGACAAATTTTCCTCTGATACCATTTTGTAAAGGAGTTGAGCTTTTTAGTGTAAGAATTTTCAGGTGTTTTATTATTAATTAGACTTTTTTGCTTTGTAGTATTTTCTAATATATTCTCTTAAATTGTGTCAAAAATTTAGAAATCTGACATATCAAGAAGTTACTTTAGCTCTATGGCTAATATTACGCAAAGATGCATTAGTGTGCCTTGATGACGAGGTATAAACTTAATTCCGTAAAAGTGGATTCTAAACTAAATGATGAGGTCTTTATTCTTAACTAAATTCCCTGTCAGTTTCATATTAGTTTATATAATCTGTTAATTTTGATGCTATTTTATTTTAATTATCAAGATTTCTTTAAAATATCAGGTGAGAAATATGATAAAACTTATTTTTTAATTAATTAAACAATTAATTTACAAGTCATCTTGAACATGCAATTATATTCGTGATGTCACTTTATAAATTATGTAGCAGTAAAAATTGTAAAGATTTTTTTATACATTTGTTATAGCATTACATATCACATTTCATACATATTAATAAATAATAACTAAGTATTTGACTTATATGTCATTTTTAGAAGAATTATTTCATTACTTAATACTTCCAAATTCGATTCATCTAAGAAACCATTGATATATGGGGTGTAATCATCAAATAACAAGATAAATAATGAAAAATTCTACATTCAAACATACTTGTTACCCATGAGCTTCTTTAAAGATTTGAAGAGTTCACTATAGCACATGTCAAAATGGTATAACATTGGCTTTACGTTTCTTTGTAAGTTTGTATTTTGGACGTTAATTTTTGAAGGCTACTGTAATGTAAGTTTAGACAAGTATATTTATTGTGTCAATAACTATTAATTTAATTCGTTTCTTCTCTACTAAAATCGTAGTGACTGAGGTAACACCTCTGAAATATATCCTAAGTAGACATTCTTCTTATATATTTTGTCCCTCTTTGGAACTGTATGCATTATAATTCCTCAGCAAGTTGTATAACAGGCTGTTTATGTCGTGTTAAATTAGGTAATTTATTTAAATACACACATATATACAGACTAATTATTTATTATTCATTTTAAATACAAGTCAAAAATAAACTTTCTGTACCTCTCCACACTAGGACTTCAAGCTTTAAGAGCATCGTAAAAACACGTTTTAGGACGAGAAAATACATATTCTACATATCTCAACAAAAATAGGTATATTATAGTAGCGGAAATGTTCACAAGACACTGCCTACGAAGAAGTAGTTGAGGATCTTAAAAGTATGCCAGAAATATATAAGATTGGGGAGAAATGAAACAAAAAAGTTGGTTTTACCCATAGCTATCACAAGTGAGATTTTTTTCAACTTTTTATTTTTTCCGGTTACATTAGGATCTAATCTATGTAAGAAATGCGTCAACCACTATTTTATGAAACAGAGCAAGGGATACCATGAAACAACTGAAAAAAAAAACACCGATTTGAAGAAAAAACTTTCGAATTAATTTAAAGTAGTAAGAAAAAGCATCTGGAGTAAAAATTAAGTTCAACTGATCCTATCGAGACAAACACGAAATCATTTTTAGCCCATGTTAAAATTGTTTAAATCGATCCAGAATGAAATTAAACCTTTTGTCTCTGAGTACCCTGAGCCACAGATGGATTTCCCATAAACACCTTTGTCTGTGCCATTAACAGAGGCAATGTCATCAAGAGATGCATTTTCAGTATCGCAGGAATTTGGACCGCATAATCTCCTTCATTATCTTCATCTTGGTGTTTAGACCAACGTAGAATTTGGATTGTCTCCTAGTTTTGAATTCAACGAAGACATAATCATCTAAAGCAGTAAGACGGAACAATTATGCCAAGTGATCAGGCTCAAATGCAAACAAATCTTCATCCGTGTCCACATCGTCATCCGTTTCTACATATTGAACGTGTTCATGGTCATCTTCTGATGAATCAACGTCCCTGTTTGTACATATTTTTTTGTTCTTGAATCCAAATAATCTTCTTTTTGCTGCCTTCTTTATGGAAAGTGGAACCGGCTTGTTCTTTTCTGCAACGGCTTTCATTTCTGGAGTACTCATAGCTATCATATTCTTGTATTTCTTCCTCGACTTTCGATAAGTTTTTCGTTCTCCTACTTTTGCATAACCACGAAAATCTTCAGGAAAGGGGAAATCTTGACTTGAACCAGCTCCTTATTCAAGGGCACTGACTTCTGCATGATTTGAAGCGGCTGCTTCTACTTGTAGGATAGGACCATTGGGCGATTCACTTGGCAGAGTATAACCGCGTGTCTTGGGTGGTTGATGATCCACATTGTCACATAATTACACAAGAAGTCTGCTTTGGTAAAAACATGTCTATCAAATGGATGTATCTTGAATTCTGAAATTATATTAGAAGGCGTCATGCTTTTATGATGAGCTATGTTCACGAAACATGATGTATTATAAATTGATGCTGTTTTCCCAGGGTTTTGCATCATCTAAGAGTCAAGAGCTGCATTATAATAAGTCTTAAAAGGCCCAAAGACAGCAATATCCAGTGGTTGCATTTTATCGGATGAATTAAGAAATAAATGGCCCACATTCCAGGGACAAATGGCCTAAGTTAACATAAATTAAATTAACAGCAGGGTTCTCAGAACTGTAGGTGTAACGAATAAAATAAATACAGCTTCCATAAATAGTTCTATCAATCAACCAGAAGGGGAGGCTAAGCCTAGTGTACCTGGAAATTCTTTAGTCACATGCTCCTTAAAATGGACACGTGGAAAAATCATCACCGATGGAGTAGTGCTGCCAGATGCAGAAATTATGGATACTGTGGTGAAGTTAGTGACTTTTCTCTCTACTAGTGGCTTTGCACACTTGCTTGATGCCTTTTTCAGCCACTTATCGTTCGGGTTTTTGTAACGTTGATGTGGCCGTTTCACCTAAATTGAGCACCTTTGCGACATCACCAAATTCATGGATGCTGTTTGTACAACATTTCAAAATTATTGAAAAACAGATATACAGTGTCTTTGGTAAAAGAAGTAGCGCGAGATAGGCTGCAATCCTCAGGGGTTCATTAGGAGAGTTCTTCTTTTCCCATGATTAAGGACATGGTATTTTGTTCATCACTGTCATTTCATATGCAACTTGTCGGTAATCTTGTACTGATAGGCGATAAAATATATTTTAGAGCACACAATTAGGAAGTTTTTTCAGTTTATCCTCTTGCTCCGCTGTGAATTGCACTATCCCAATTGAATAATTAAGAGCATATAACACATTCTCATCCCTACGTGCCTTAGTTTTAGATATCTCGATAACGTGAAATGATTCTCATTATTGATTCTTCTGATTTTCCGCTGTCGATTTCGCAACATTCTGAAGTAAAACGAAAAAAGTGCTTGCTGTACAATGAAAAACAAATGGGACATAATGAAGTATTCGTGGGGCTCCATGAAACGTTTCATTGCGACCCGAAGGCCTCTGTTTCAAGGAACCTAATACAAGCCACTTTGATTTCATTTGAATTCCACAAAATTTATGTTAACTTATTATCACTACAGCTGTTTCGGCAAAGTGCCTTCTTAAGTGATCTATTTTTGGTATATGTTTACACTTTATAGTCTTTAACTGAATAAGTTGAGGAGGGGAGAATTGTTTGTCTCAAGTTGGTCATTCAGAATTATGTCTATATTTTTTATTTTGTTAATTTTCATAGATTCTAATAAAGATAGCTTAAGGCTTTTATTTTTAATGTGTAGAATTTGAAATTCTGGAGGGTCAAGTGCGTACGTAGAATCTGTTTGTCTATTACTAAAAGCCATTTTATGTCCTGCTATAAGTTTGATTAAAGTTCTAGCAGTTTGACCAATCTAAGTTTTTGGGCAGTCGCCACGTAAGTTTGTATACACCACTGTGTAGTTGCTTTTTCTTTTGGCTCTTAATATACTTGCCTAAGTTGTTTGTTTGTTCTAAAAGCCGGTATTATTCGTTGATATATATTATTTGTTGATATCTTGCATTTATGTGAAAACGAGCAGAAGGTACTGGGTTTTTCTCTGGTGGTGGAAACACTCATTTCAGGACTTTCTTATATAGTTTTTGATTTCAAATTTTATTTTTTTGTGTGTTCGTTCACAAGTTCCAGCGAATATGATATACTTTCAGCAAGATGGAGCACCACCCCAAATCAATGTTTGGCAGTGTCTCAACCGAATATTTCCAAATCGGTGTATAGGGAGGCGAGAATCGATGGAATGATCAGCACCTGATATGACGCCATTAGACTTCTTATGGAAATATGTCAGAAATGTTGTATATAAAATTAAATCCCCAAGTTAGCTAACAAGAAGACGAATAGCGCTTGCAATTAGATCGGTCATGCCTTTGATGTTGAGTAACTTAGAAGAAATTCCATTTAAGATTATTATAATACCAACACATTCGCTGCCAGCATTTTGAACATCTACATTCATATTAATGTATTTTTTGTTTTTTTATATTATCAAGAAATAAACAGTATCACTTATTAGTTTTGCATTAT